AAATAGGACAAGATGGGTGCTTGGATGGCTCAGTTGGTTAAGAGGCTGCGTTCTGCTCAGGTCATGATCCCAGGGTCCTGGGATGGAGCCCTACATCAACCCCCACACAAGGGAGCCTTCTTCTCCCTCTCGTCTACCGCTCCCTCTGCCTGTGCTCTCCTGCACTCTCTCTCTCTGTCAAATAAATAAATAAATTTCTTAAAAAAAAAAAAAGAACAAAAAACAAAAACAGGACAAGAAAAATGCTCAAGTCGATGAAAAACATGAGCAAGCAATCAGAAAAATTAATGCCAAGGATATAAATAAACCTGCAATTCACAAAAGAAATTAAAATGCTACATAAAGCTATGCAAAGATGAAATTCATAGGTTTGTGTAAGGACAAATGAGATCATGTACTTAACATAATGTTTTATATACCATAAATGAAGCTATTAAAATATAACTAATAAGTAAATACAAATTTAAATAACAGAAATATATACATATATACACATATGAAGGTTATATATAGTCATATATTTATAACTTATGTGATTATATTCTATATATATTAACACATACAGATAACATCTGTATACATAAAATCATTTTTGAAAACACTGAGAAAACTTTTGAGCCCGAAGTTGACAAAATATGGAGAAAGACATTCTGTCATAATTTGGTAGTAGTACTGTAGTGGGTATGTCCTTTTAGGGAAACACTCTGCTAGTACCTTCTAAAGTAAAAAAAAAAAAAAAAAAAATTGTATCAATCTAAGTTTACATATATCTCCTTTGAGTGAGTGATTTCACTGCTCAAAATTCATCCTACAGATTTATCAGCACAAGTGTAGAAAGATAACCATACATGGATATATTTACTACAACAATGTAATAGAGAAAATTGGAAATAATCCAAAAGGCTACCAAGAGTTAAATAAAGGTAACTGAACATTATTAGGCAAAATGTGGTAGATGTATATACCCTGACATGGACAACTGTCTAAAAGAATAATAAATTGTAAATCTAAAAAAAAAATTGTTAAGGAGGGGAATAAACCAGTTTAGGACTATTTAATCTGGGGTCTTCCATGTATAGATGGCTCAAGAGAACCAAAACTGCATGTAAAATTGTCTATGTATGTAAATGCATTTTCTAAGGAAAGTGTCTGTAGCTTTTATCAAATTCTTAAAGGAATATGTAGCTCCCTGGAAAGGCTCACTAAACAATCAGGAAAAAGCATCCAGCTCTGAGTATCTAAGAAATGTAATTAAGTCATACTCAAGTGAGGAAGACTTTGGGGAGGAAAGAAATGCTCTCAAACTTTGAAGGATATATTAAATGCCTCTACCACAAAACACAACATTTTATTTCAAAACTGCTAAATCTAAGGGTGTGAAGGAAGTTATTCATCAGATGAGCTTATATTCACTAATTACAAACCTCAACCAAAAATTAAAGATCAAAAACAGTCTTCAAAATGTGTGACTAGTTCATGCTTAAATTACAGTTAAAGTAAGATCATACAGAAGCAATAGGAGCCAAAGATGAAGTGGGAGTACCATTTGACACAGTCAGGTTGGTAATTATGGACCAGTTACTCATACATACAAAGATTCATATGGACCAGTTACTCATACACGGCCTTACCTAAACTTCATTTTTTATCTTTTTTTTTAAAGTTTTTATTTATTTGTCAGAGAAAGAGAGATTAAGAGAGAGAGAGCACATACAAGAAGGGGGAGCAACAGAAGTGGAGAGAGAAGGCTCCTCGCTGAGCAAGGAGCCCAAAGGGGGACTTGATCCCAGAATCCTGGGATCATGACCTGAGCGAAAGGCAAATGCTTAACTGACTGAGCCACCTAGGCTTCCCTAAACTTTATTTCTTAAAGATAAGTCGATTAAAATAAGACAAAAATAAGTTAGGTCTTCTACATAGTTTTGTGAACTTTCTTTGAGCAGAATAAATAAGTCTTTTCCCCTGGAGGCAGGTTAGGAAGAAGATTCCAATAGCTTTAGAACTAATATAATAAATTAACATTTTAAACATTATAGCCACTAGAATCAATAGGACTTAATGAAGACTGAAATAAATGAGTAGAAAATAGCAGGAATACTCTCTAGCCTAAAATGAAAATATATCTTAGAACAGTGGTTCTCAACCAGGAGTAACTTTGCCCCCCTAAGGGACATTTGACACCACCTGAAAACATTTTGGATTGTCATAAGGGGACGGGTACTCCTAGTATATTGTGGGTAGAAGCTATGGATGTGGCTCAACATCTCACAGACTCACCCACCCACTCAAAATGTCGACAATGCCACGAAGTGGGCTGGAGGAACCACTGAATCTGTGCTTTGAGATAATCAACTTTACAACAGAAATCCTAAAACAAGGTTTACTTGTTTTGAAACACTGACACCCTATCAAATAGCATAGATCTTATTAAAATGACCTAATTCTCAAAGGTTATTTAAAAGAAAGATATTAACTGAATTTCCAATTTATCTAAACCTTTTAAATGACGTAAAAGCCATAGGCAAGAAAAAAAAAAAAGGACAACGAATTAATGCTAAAAGAAAAAAGTTTTATACACACACACATCCTATGATGCTCACAAACAATTCTGAGCAAAGGAAACCAGACACAAAAAGCTGTATTTTGCATGATTCCATTTATACACGGTTCAAGAATAGGCAAAAACTGATCTCTTGTTAGAAATCAGAACTGTGGTTCCTCTGGAGAGAAAGAAAAGGTAGAGATGGGAGAGAACATAAGGGGGGCTGCTGGAATGCTAATAATTTTGTATTTCTTAATCTGGGTAATGGTTATATAACTGTGTTCACTCTGTGACAATTCATCGTGTGTGTACTAAGTAATCCAAGTGCAGTTTATACAGTTAACACTTGCACCAAAAAATGTTTATTTTTTTCACAAAAAATTTATTTTTTAAATGTTATTTATTCATACCCTAAAAAGCTGAACACTTTGACCCACAGAGCTAAATGAATGTCAATTGCAAAAGTAAAAGTATTTTAGTTACATAGGCTACCTTCCAAGAATTCAAGAAGGATGACACCCCCAGAAAGCTGTAAATACCATACTCAGAGCTCATACGGCCTTCAGTTGAACACTTAAGCCACCATATATCCCTCGGCACAAATCCAAAAATCTGACAAAGGCTTACAAATGCAGTTAAATTTATTCCATGGGCAGTTTGAATTATTGCCCCCAATTTTAAACTGTGAACTGTTATTAGAGAATGCATTCTATGAAACAAACGATGCTCTTTCTTAATCCCGCATTTTCCCCAAACTCCCCCAAACTAAACCCCTCTTGGCCCTCACCTCCTTAGGATTTCTCCAGGCTGCTTGCAACAGTGCCCATCATCGCCTCTCTCAGTATCCATCCTTACAATCCACCTCCCCAAACACATGAAAATTCATGCTCATTCCAGAGGCTGGTCTCCCATACCAGACTCGTACTCCCTCCCAGGACCTCATAAATACAATCCAAACCTCACTACCCTCAAACTCCTAATATTCTCCAACAACGAGCTTCCCAACAGCACCACAAAACTAGGGCACATGCAAACCCCATCTTTAAATCCTCTTCTACCACATAAAAAAGGCCTGCTTCTGCACACAATTCAGCTCACTGGCCACTGTAGCTACCATCCCCGGTCCAGCTCTCTGCTTTAGGATCCCCTCTACTGCATTCACATCCATCCCATTTCCCACCCACTCCCTGCCCCAAACTCTGCTTTCTTCTTGAAAAACCTTTCCTAAGTACTAAAGCAAGGATATAAAGTTGAAGGAAGGATAAAGGAAGGTGCTCCATTCTGCATGAAGGTAGCTGCTCCAGGGTCAAACACACCAACCATGGGCACAGGCTACAGGGTCAGAGGCAAGAGTGTGAAACCTAGCCACAGTCCTTCCTAACTAACTGCAAGGCTCTGGGCGATTTTAGATCTTTAAGCCTCAGTCTGCTGAGCTACAAAATGGGAAATCATAAAAATAGCGATCTCACAGAGCTGTCAGGATGAAATAAACTACCGGCTGTCGAGCACTTTGCACAAATCCTACGCTGTAAACTCTCAGTGGCTGATGGTTTTTCCTAGGTCCTCTCCTTGGAGGAATGCAAGAGGGTGATAGGTACTTCAAGGGCAAGGGAGTGGTGGAGGAAGAAGTACCGTACACATATACGGCTGATAACAAAGAATTATGTCAGATCCCCAGTGTTCTCTATTATCCCCTTACAATGTGGACCCCGAGACGCCCTCAAAGCCCCCGCTAAGGGATTGGGGAAGACACAAATAGATACATCAAATCCTGCTTTCACGGAGTTATTTGAGGGAATGAAGTAGGAAAGTGCCGCCCCTAAATTGCTCAAATGCGATCCTTGGCGGGGGGGGGGGGGGGGGGGGGAGGGGGGTCTGAGAATTAGGACGAAAACCCCAAAGTCCCAAAGGATTTCTCCTTTGGGAGTACTTCATAACAAGGAGATTAAAACTAAACGCTAGAAACCATAGACTCCTCAAGTTCTCCCCTAAGAAAGAGTACTAACTGGTTTCTCCGCAAATGGCTTGAGAAAGGAAATGCGCTTTCCGCGTCTCTCATGGGACACCCGGGCTTCCCCGGGTCCCTTCCCCGGAGGGATAAGGAGGACGGTCCGCGCAGGGGAATCCCCAGCCTCCCCCCACCCCCAGCTGGGGAGAGGCGGACTCAGGCCGGGGCCCCCAGGGAGTTCCACTGGGACTCTTCCAGTCTTTTTGCAGCCGGTCTCCAGTAACGGGATCTCTCCGGGGGCTCGGGGATCTCCCAGAACTTCGGCCATCGCTGGCTCCCTCCCCTCACAAGCTTTAGGTCCTCGGTCCCCCGAGCTCTCCCCGGGCACTTCTCCGGGTCTCCTGGCTGGCACAGGGTCCCCCCGCCGCCCACGGGCTCTCCTCTCCGGCCTCCTCCGCCGCCGCCCCCCCCCCCCCCGCCCCGCCGAGCGCCGCGAGCCTGCGGGGTTACCTGCTGAGAGGGCAGCTCCACATGCAGGGCCCGCGCGGCAGAACCGGGTGGCAGCGAAGCGGCCGGGCCCGGGGGCGGCGGGGGGACCGGGCCCCCGACCGACGCCGAGGCGCTCATCTTGATCCAGGGGCCGCCAAGCGGCGGGGCCCGCGTTCCTCCGGCATCCGCCACCACCGCCTATCCTCGACCAGCCGAGTCTCTGCAGCAGAGAAACCCGCCACCCGAGAGGCAGGAGTGTTCTACCCAACCTCCGTCCGCCACCGCCGCTGGCTAAGGAAGAGCCATATTACCGCAGCGCAACCCCACCACCCCGCCGAGACCTGGCTTGTTCATTGGTTCAGCTGCTACGGGGGCGGGACCCAAAGCCAGACAAGGGACGTACTATTGGGCAAAAGGTCTGTCCATCGCCGGCCGGAATGGGCTCGGGGCGGAGGAACCCCGGGATGGCCTAAATCGCGTCTGTCAAACCCGGGTGAAACCTGGGGCGTTGCTTCTTTTTTTCCCAGTCTAATTGGTTCTCTCAGTACTACAGGGCGGGGTCTCCTGGCCGATCCGCAAAGGCCATTGCTCTAGGTGGGTGTCAGTTGTCAGTAAGGGGACAGAGGGGCGGGGTCTGATTAGGTAGAAAGAGCGCCTGGGCTCTGTTGTCACGTGCAGGAGGCAGTAGAGTCACCTGATTAGTGAGAGTCAGTCTTCCGAGCCACTTCCGCCCGAACCTAGTTGCCATGGTAACCGGCCTCCGTCGGAGGGAGGGGACCCGTTTGGCGCCAGCTGGGTGGTGATGGCTGATCTAATGTTGCAAGCTCCCTGAGCAGCCTTTTCCTGAGGGGGTCCCAGCAACATGCGGAGATTGAAAAGGAATATTTTGTGTTTCGACAGAAGGCATGCACGGAGACTAGAAACCTGTCGGGCAGTCCCACCTGCTCTTCGGCGACCAATGCCAACCCACAAGTCCACGCCCCTCTTCACACTGCTCTAACTAGTGTACTGAGCTGCAAGGTGTACCAGGCACCCAGGACACAGTATCACCTCTTGCTTATGCTGTCCTTAAAAGCCTTTGCCACTTTTTTCCTCCCTAGTGTTTACTTACCATCAAATCTTATCGGGGGATGCGGTCCGTTCTTCCCTGATCTATTCTAGGACCCTGAGTTAGGAACATTGCCTCTACCATATTTCTGATTATTTTATGGCATTGTCTTTCAATAAGCGTGTAATACACACACACGTATTGAATTCCTCAAGTAAAAGGACCTTGTCATTCATATCTGGATTTCCAGGACCTGCTGGATAATCAATACATGTTTGCTTTTTAAGTGAAGACCCAGCTCAAATGCCACCTCTTCCATGAAGACTTCCTTGATCATAATATAGCGTATATAGCAAATGCGTCTATAATAAATAGCACTGAATCATTCTGCAGGATATCAGTCTGCGCCCCCCCCCCCCCCCACCCCGCCAACTCCCAGACTGTGAATTTCTCCACCACCTGGACTGACTGAGCTGAAAGAACACAATGTTTTAGAATCAGACACAACAGGAATCAGGCAGTTTGGGAATCTTGGCTCTGCCACTTTCTAGCTATGTGTTCCTGGGCAAACCAGTTTCCCTCTCTCAGCTTTGGTTTTCCCATCTGTAAAATAATTATAAGGTTGCTGTAGGGGTTAAGTAAATCAACATAAGTAAGGTGCCAGGGAAAGCCTCACATATAATAATTGCACTAAAAATAGTTTAATAAAAGGTAAGCATACTATATTTCCAGGGTGTTCAGAAGCCTGAAGACACTTTGGATCTGACCCAGGGCTGGCTAACATGAATGTCACCCTGTCTTCTATTCCGAGACATCGAGTGGTTCTTTATGGGTGTGTGGTCAGGTGTTTGTTGATAAGGGATTAGTTAAGAAATCCCAAATCTCATGTTGTTCAACTCATGTCGTGCCAAGATCTGGTGGAATTTCACAGAAAACACTTTTCTGTTTCCAAGCTGTATTAGTTCCCTGAGGCTGCTATATTACATTACCACAAACTAGGTGGCTTACAACAACAGCAACAGAAATTTATTCTTTAGCAGTTCTGGAGGCCAGTCGTGAAGGTGTTGGCAGGGCCTCACTCTCTCAGAAGGCTCTAAGGGAGAATATTTCCTTGCCTCTCTCATCTTCTGGTGGCTTCGGGTAGTCCTTATCCTGGGGCTGCATAATTCCAGTCTCTCCCTCCATCTTTTCATGGTCTTTTCTTCTTGTTGTATATTTTTTTCTTTTTCTTACCAGAACACTTGTCTTTGGACTTAGGGCCCACCCGGACAATCCAGATCTCATTTTGAGATCCTTAACTACAAAGACTCTTTATCCAAGTAAGACGACATTCCCAGGTTCCAGGGATTAGAGTATGAACTCATTCGAGGGGGAATGGGATATCATTCAACCCACTACAAAAGTTAAGAAAATAGACCTCTAGAGACAGAACACAGAATCACTTCATTCCCCTTTGGTGGGCAGCTCTGAATATTAGCTAACTTTATTAGTTTGTTCATTTAACAAATGTTCATTGACACAGAGATGTCAAGCCCTTTGATGGATGCTGGGAAATCAGACCCAGACTCATCCCCGGAGGAGCTGCCCTTTTTATCGGGTAGTCCAATAAGAGAACAAAGAATGCAAATCCAGTTGCTCAGTCTGAGGAAAGTTCAGGAGCTGTGGAAGCCAGAGGAGAGAGTCAGATTTCAGTCACAGTAGAGGTGACATTTAACCTGGGTATTGAAGGACCAATAAGAGTTTACCAGGCAGGAAGGATGTTCTAACAGAGACAGCAGGACCCATTCTTTCTACAAGTTTCTAATGAGATTCAACACTGTACCAGGCTGATTACTAGACACTGGAAATACACAGTTCAACTAAATAACCCTTCTCAGACTTTTCCACTCACATGCCACTAATACCAGGAGAGCTGGAATGCTCACCCCTAGGGACAGGAAAGAGAATCGAAATAACTGCAAAATATTCAAGGTAATGAACGTAAAATGTTTTGTACCATGCCTTGGGGATAATAAGTGTTCAATAAATGCTAGCATTATTTTTATATGTCCTATTTCATTTTAAAAAGTCTTGTATTATCTTAGATCCCTTTCCATAATATAGTTATATTTGTTTCAATGTAAAAATATTTCTAATCACTTTGAATTAAAATACTATAATATTTATACAGTGCTATATATCCCCTAGGAAGACTTGTATCCAAGTGTGGGAAACATGGATTCTAGGCGGCCAAATACAATATGCATGTAATGATAGAAGGGAGATCAAGGTCAAATGGTAATGGAATGACTGACTCTACAAGAGCTGGTGGGCAAAGTTAGAGAAGGCCTCACAAAAGTCTTTTAAAAATGATTAAGAGCATGATAGACGAACATGAGGGGTTAGATCTGTTTGGTTCAGGGATGACTGGTGTTTTAAAAGCTAATTAGAGTCATGTTGGATATTAAAACCAAGCACTGTTTACAGGGTCAAAAATCTGAAGCCACTCCAATCCATTTTACCTCCTCTTCTTCCTCCCCCCTCATTTTCTAGATCTCATGAGTGATGCATTAAGTAAGAGCAAGACAGGCCAGGTTGGTCTTTCAGTGTTTCAAATTTAATTAAATTAGATCTATCCCATTCCTTTCAACAGTGTCCTCTTTCTTCCGCTTACTTACTCATTGAGTCAAACAGCATTCAAACCTGTACCAGGTACCCAGCCAGGGCACTACATTTACAGAAATCATGCAGATGGAATCCCTGATTGCAAGGAGGTCATGGATAATTTTACTACAACGTGCCCAATGCAGTCATTGGGACAATATATAAAGTATAATAGGAGCACAAAAGAGGAAGTTGCTAATGGCTGTGTGCTGTACCAGAAGGCTTTCCAGAGAAGAAAGAGTATTCTAGGCAGAACCATGAGTTTTGCATGAGCAAAGGCCCTGAGACAGAAGACATGACATTAGCATTGTTTAAGGTGTCTGAAACAAAGGTTGCATGGGAGCAACAGGCAAAGAGGTCAAAACAGGAAGAGGGGGCCAGGTAAGAAGAACCTGCTGCTAGGCGGAAGAACTCAGGCTTCATTTTAGGCAATAGGAAGTCAGTTAGAAAGAGCCTCGGGCAGCCCTGGAAAGGCAGCTTTCAAGAGGTAGGATTTGAAGAGCCAGACTCTTGCAGAAAACCAGGTGAGAATCGTAAAACAAGGAGACAATTCCGCAAAGAGCCTGCACCCAACAAAGGTGGGTCCCTGGGCAGCGTTTCTCCTTCTCCTTCCTCAACCCTTCAAGGTCCTTTTTTGAAAAGGGCTTCCTAGAGGTGAGCTAATAGCTACCTTCTCTGGGCTTCCACTGCGGCTACCTGACCTCTCTTTAGTACCTGTATCCACGTGCCTAGTCATATGGTTCCTGTTAGTCTCACCCGCTCTACTTTGAACTCTTGCTTTTCATGTCGTGCCAAATCCCACAGAAGGCAGGCTGCAGGAGCTTCAACGCATCAATGAATGAAATCAGTGAATGAGTAGATGAACGCTGGAGGAAGGGAATGTTTAGACGACATGGAACCTCCATGCCTCTCCCACTGGACACAGCCCCAGAAAGAGGAGATGAACTTGTCCAGGATCACACAAAGTTTGCAGCAAAGCTGAGACAAACACTTAGGCTTCTTGCCCCTGGGAGCAGCACTCCTTCCTCAATTCCAGTGGTTTTCACACTGTCGTCGACTATAAATGGGCCAACATGGGCACCTGAGTTTATGAATTCATGGGCCAGCCAGGGAGACAAGCGTTAGACAGAAGGACATCTAACCCATGGGGCTGATTTAGTGGGAGCCCCCAGAGAAAGCTTTCCTTGGGGACTGCCTTTTACAATGAGGTCTTAAGGGTGAGGAGGGGGTAACTGGACAGAGGGGGCTAGTGAGAGCCAGAGGAGAATTCAGGCAGAAGAAAGAGCTGAAGAAGGAGCCTGGAGCATTGAAGGAACTGAAAGAGAAAGCCAGATGGGAGTAGGCAGGAGAGGCAGCCGGCATGGAGGAGGAGGAGGGGGAGGAGAACAGTGTTTGAAAGAAATTGATATTTCAAAAATAAAATCAAAGACTTCCTTCAATCTCTCTACAGTTTTAGTGTTGCTTTCATTTGTCATTTCATAGAGTGGCAGCTGCATTGTCTTTTCAGTGCTTAGAGCTTCTGCAGTTTTAGTCCAACTCTGATGGCATAGAATGAAGTCTGGGTCCAGATCCTGCCAGGGTCCAGATCCTGCCAGGGATGGTTGCCCCTGGGGA